TCAGTGTAAAACGATGACCCGTTCAGTTTTAGTTATTAATGTGTAAAAATAACAGAATTGATGTGACCAGTGATTCCAAACGTCCAGATAGTTACAGTCGTTCTCCTGATTTTTAGCGCTGTTCTCTGATACGTCCGGCGGATGAACTCATTAACACGCACACAAGCACACAACACTGAGTGTGGGTTTTGGGACAGGCGGTAAATCTGAGCGAGTCAAAGTAGGTCAGAGGTCAGTCGTGAATGGCATGGGCAGGTAGGGTTTAGCCCAGTGGTCAGGCAGTCAGACGTTTATTGGATTTAGTGCAGAGAGAAGCAGATGGGCACAGCTAGGGGTGAGATACGGAATGTGAAAATTAAATGATGATATTTTCCACTATCTGGACGATAACGATACGATATACAACAATTATTATCATTGATATTAATAAAAAAGGTCTGTATAATAACTAATACAGCTGTATGGAAAAGCTTGGGGGCCTCAAATTCCCTGTATGTGTTGATCTTCTGTGTAAATAAGTTACACGTCCTCTACAGAGACACACTATTGCACATCTTAATACACAGTTACTGTTTATTTACTGAATTTAACATATCAGGGAAAATGTGGTGGATGCAAAAGTTATGGCACATTTATATTTGACTTTTTTCCAGATATGTAATTATTTGTATTCTTTCTGATTTGAAAATAACAGATTTTCTTTTAGAAAATCAACAAAACACGTAATTTGTTCAGGGGTACCCAAACATTTGCATACGGCTGTACATGTTTTTCAAAACCTGGTTTAAAAAAGCCTTCAGGCCTTCTGTAGGCAAAGGCTAACTGCAGCTACCCGCTTGTTCATATTCCTGGACATGCAGGTCTTTCAGCCATACAGTGACCACAATGGGCCAAAATCTGAATCATAGAAGGACGTCAGAAGTGGTCTTCACTCTTAGACCAGTGCCCCTCCCACCCCTAGACTGAGGAAAGCCGCATAGAACTCGGATGCATTCTCTGTGTGTCAGGAGGTTCTAGAGCGGTGCCGTGCTTCATCAGTACAGCCTGTGTGAAGGAAGCAGTGAAGAATAGTCAAATACCTCTACAAGGTCAGAAAGTCGATTGGCCAAGACATGTTCTGGTGTCCGATGTTACTAATGAGTAATATAGATTGTGTTCTAAGTTACTAGAACTGTTGGGACCTGGGGAATTCCAGGTTATAGGGGAGGGGATTCAGCTGGCTGCAGTCTGCAACCTCACCACTAGAGGCCACTAAATCTCACACACTGCACCTTTAAGATCTGGCACTAAAGTCACACTCAAATAAGGCATTAAACTTAATATACATCACACTGCAGTGTTGAGCCTGTTTTAGATACAGACTGAAAGCAGACTTTTACTAGGTAGTGGATCTTATCAGAGGTATGATTTCATAACTGACCTCATTTATTAATGTGTTCAGTTCAGTATCGCGCCTCATACCAGCCGACGTGCTCTGAAAACATCTCTTACAGGATGATGATTAAGACCTCAGTCTTCTTACTAGTCTGAGTCCAGGGCTCTAAACTGTGGCCACTGCCGACAGACCAGCACGGCCGTCCACTCTGTTTGGTAAATACACTGATCAGGCATAACATTCTGACCACCTCCTTGTTTCTATGCTCATTGTCCATTTTATCAGCTCCACTTACTATATAGGTGCACTTTGTAGTTCTACAGTTACAGACTGTAGTCCATCTGTTTCTCTGATACTTTGTTAGCCCCCTTTTACCCTGTTCTTCAGTGGTCAGGACCCCCATGGACCCTCACAGAGCAGGTACTGTTTGGGTGGTGGATCATTCTCAGCACTGCAGTAACACTGACGTGGTGGTGGTGTGTTAGTGTGTGCTGTGCTGGTCTGAGTGGATCAGACAGCAGTACTGCTGGAGTTTTTGAACACCTCACTGTCACTGCTGGACTGAGAATAGTCCACCAACCAAAAATATCCAGCCAACAGCGTCCTGTGGGCAGCGTCCTGTGACCACTGATGAAGGACTAAAGAATGACCAACACAAACTGTGCAGCAGCAGATGAGCTATCGTCTCTGACTTTACATCTACAAGGTGGACCGACAAGATAGGAGTGTCTAATAGAGTGGACAGTGAGTGGACACAGTGTTTAACAACTCCAGCAGCACTGCTGTGTCTGATCCACTCAAACCAGCACAACACACACTAACACACCACCACCACGTCAGTGTTACTGCAGTGCCGAGAATGATCCACCACCCAAATAGTACCTGCTCTGTGAGGGTCCATGGGGGTCCTGACCACTGAAGAACAGGGTAAAAGGGGGCTAACAAAGTATCAGAGAAACAGATGGACTACAGTCTGTAACTGTAGAACTACAAAGTGACCCTATATAGTAAGTGGAGCTGATAAAATGGACAATGAGTGTAGAAACAAGGAGGTGGTCAGAATGTTATGGCTGATCAGTGTAAAGTTTCTGACTCACTTCATTGCCAGAGTTTCATGATCTTTACAAAAAGTCCTTCTCTGTTTTTTCCTGCTATGATCCTGTCGTGTTCCGGTCAGCTTTGGGAGACGCTTTTCCTCCGTGCTAATGAAACCCTTGTTTTGAAACGTTAATTTGTTGTGAGCGTCCCGTTTGGTGCCGTCGCACCCTGAAGCTGTTTCCTCCCTCATGCATGTTCTGTGTAACAGACGAGCTTTAAACATTAGGCTTCGATCCAGTATTTATTTATTCGTGAGTTTAAAGTCTTTTCCCATCTCTCTCCATCCTCTGTTTGAGTCTTGCACTTTAATTTTCTGAAAGGTGTGGACTGGAAGTTTCATTAAAAACCATAATTTGATTAAGTATAGCACCTTATGTTTTGTACTTTTACAATGATTACGCCTGAGGTTTTTATAAATCATAGAGCTCTGCAGATTTTAACATTTCTTCCATATGAAACAAGACATCTGACTAACGTGAGAACTATTTTCATAAACTGTCACTAATAAATGTTCATTTCTTCACAAGCAGCTGGCGTCAAAACCTGCTTTCTCTTTTTGCCTCGTGTGTTTATCATTAATCAGCGAGCATCAAAGCACGACGTACTTTTATATGAAGAGTTTGACTCGTAGCTCATTAAAACAAAGTGGAGAAACTGTGGATTCAACACTTTTAATCCACCCAACACCTGTGTTTGTAAGTAGAAGAGGAGCTGTTTTATTATTGTTTGAATCAGTAATAACTATGCTTAAAAAAAGATGTTCCTTTAAGGGTTCTTCAGGAAAGAGGAACCATATATAGATCACTGTATAGAACCATAAACACTCAAAGAACCTTTTTTATACCTTAAGTGTTCTTTTCATGCTGAAGTGGTTCTTCAGACTGATGGAGAATGTGCTGTATATGGTTTTATGTATGTATATAGCACCAAAAAGGGTTCTTCTATTGTGACGATGTCAAGGTTGTAACAATAGAAGAACCCTATATAGAACCGTTTCACCATGCAAAGAACTCTTTGATCATTGAGTGTTCATGCTTCTATAAAGAACCATTGGTCCTCATTCACCAACCTTCGTAAGAAGAGAATTCTTCTTAAAACCCACTTCCGCAGTTTTGACCAAGACTCTGATGAGGGATTTGTTCTTAGGTAAGAACAGAATCTACACCCTCAAGAGAACAAAGGTGAGAACAGTTCTGCGCTTTAAGAACACGTCATGAATCTGACGCAGACTTTTTCTTAGCAGCTGTTTCAAGAACACCACTGTAAGATCCATCTTTATGAGTCTAGAGTTCTAAAAGTTAAGCATATTTTTGATAAGCCCTCAGATTCCCAAGAACATGGTACAGTTTCACCACTCCAGCCGCTGGGGTTCTCTACGTTGAAATTAAAAAGGGAAATTGCACTGAATATTCAAAACATATCCATGATTAAATGACTAAGATGTAATCAGAGTCGTTCAGAGTGGTTTGGTGTGAAACGCTCTGTTCTAGATAAACTTACAGAGTCAGAACTGTTCACAGTGGTGGTGATAGGAACCAGACGTCCACCTCTAAAAGCTCCCTCACAGAAAGTTACTACATGAAATGGTTATGAATTCACTGCCTGATGACTGAGACACTGTTTTATGATAGTTTAGAGAACTTAAACTCCATTCATGGTGGAGGGATACATGCAGGGCGCTGTGAGGCAAAATAGTCCCCAAAGAAAACTTATTATTTCAGATTTTCCACTATTTTCCATCATCAACATTCCATATAAACTCAGAAGACTCGTGTAGGTTCACTGGTGGTTCTGGATAGTAAATAAAATGTCTATATTTGTGTTGTAGTCATGGCGACCCCTGGTTCCTATCACCACCACTGTAAAGTTTAACCAATAAACCATATATGCTGGAGTTTTTAAACACTGTGTCCACTCACTGTCCACTCTGTTACCTTGTCGGTCCACCTTGTAGATGTTAGGCCAGAGACAGCAGCTCATGTGTGTCAGCACAGTTTGTGTTGGTCATCCTCTAGTCCTTCATCAGTGGTCACAGGACGCTGCCCACAGGACGCTGTTGGCTGGATATTTTTGATTGGTGGACTATTCTCAGTCCAGCAGTGACACTGAGGTGTTTAAAAACTCCAGCAGCACTGCTGTGTCTGATCCACTCAGACCAGCACAACACACACTAGCACACCACCACCACGTCAGTGTTACTGCAGTGCTGAGAATGATCCACCACCCAAATACTACCTGCTCTGTGAGGGTCCATGGGGTCCTGACCACTGAAGAACAGGGTAAAAGGGGGCTAACAAAGTATCAGAGAAACAGATGGACTACAGTCTGTAACTGTAGAACTACAAAGTGCGCCTATATAGTAAGTGGAGCTGATAAAATGGACAATGAGTGTAGAAACAAGGAGGTGGTCAGAATGTTATGCCTGATCGGTGTGTGTGTGTGTGTATAAATATATAACAGGACTGTAGGTACAGTCTTTATATGATCTGTTCCACATTAGCAGCCAAATAAAGACGCCTTACACTCATCAGTATTTCAATATCATTTACTGAGAAGTTTGACAAATTAAATACAAAGCAAAAAGTGATTAAGACGTGGAATCAAGTGTGACAGAAAGCCCTTCACTAGACCTTCACTAGACCTAACGAGTCATCAGCGCGGATCATACAGGCTATACTGAGGGAGATTCGACGCACTCCTTGTTGTATGAGAGAATCAGCCTCTTCAAACACCTTAGCCTTCTAATATAGGCTGTTTATCACCGTGTGGTACATTAAATACATAATTATTACACGTTTGGTCACATTCAGGCCCAGAACGTCGCTCCCTAAAGGAAAGAAAAGCTTCCTAAGATTCATTTTCTGTGCTTGAATAAGAGCAAAAGCAAATCACTGGATGTTCAATCAGAATAAAACCAAATCACTGGCTCACTCTGTGATGCCAGACAGCTTAGAGTCCCGATCTAAGATGTTTCAATATCGATTCAAATCATGTTATTTTTAAAGGTGACACTCATTTTGGCCAGATTTACGATCTCGCTCCTGTTTTAACCTCCTGGCTGGCACTACACATCGCTTCTGAACGGAGAGCAGAAATTCAGGTTACTTTTAGTGGATCAGGTTTGTTTATACAAAACATTAGCAACACAGCAAGTAACAGATTAAGAACGACAGACATTTTGGCAGATTTCTGGTTTGGCCTGCTGTATATTTGTGCAGATATGTTTAAGGTGAACTGGGCTTTGCTGGCAGCTGGTTTATAACAGTGGTCAAAGAACTTGGCTATAAAAGTGTAATAAAACAGATACTGGTACACTTTGATAGAAAACTCCTGCCTTCAGTACTGATAAACACTTAGGTTCAGGGTTTGGATGCATTTTGGTCTCATTAATATAAAACAAAGTAAAAGCAGCCTCACTGTAAAAGCCAAATTCATCTGTGTGATCATTTTCAGCCTCTCTGTATCCCACAGACTTAAACAGGCTTCACCTTTAAGACTGATATATGTAAATGAGCTCTGTTCTGATTGGCTGTCCCTGGGGCCAGATTCACGAAAACGTTCTTAATAAAAACTTGCGAAGGTTCCTAAGACAAACACTGAGAAGCTCATAAGAACGTTCTTAAATGCAGTTCTTGAAAAAAAAAATTAAGAAGTTTTCAAAGATTTTTCTTAAGATTTTCTTCAGAAAATTTTCATTGTTTTCTTGTGTAGACTGTATTGTATTTTACCCTGTACCATAAACGACACTATATTGGTACATTTTGATAGAAAACTCCTGCCTTTAGTACTGATATACACTTATGTTCAGGGTTTGGATGCATTTTGGTCTCATTAATATAAAAACAAAATAAAAGCAGCCTCACTGTAAAAGCCAAGTATATCTATATATGATCATTTTCAGCCTCTCTTTGTGTCGGATTCACAAAAACTTTCATAAGAAAAAACTTGCAAAGGTTCTTAAGACAAACACTAAGTTCATAAGAATGTTCTTAAAAGCAATTCTTGAAAAAACTTAAGAGAATATTTGAGAACGTCTTAAGATAATCTTGATTACTTTCTGAAGATTTTCTTAATGTTGGCTACGTTGCATTTTACTCCGTACCATAAATGACGCAAGATATTTTGGATTTGAATTTAACTGTTATTTCCCTTATTTAGTTTAATCCGCTCAGAGGAGCAAAACGGAGCAAAAACCCCAAATCAACGCTTAAAAAATTAGCAAACAAGATCCAGAGGTGAGGAGGACGAAACAGCCAACAGGACAAAATCCTCCTTAGAAAATATGATAAGTGTGGAGTGACGGCAGAAAGCAGGACGAGGATGGACAGAGCAGATAAACTGATACATTTAGTTTCTCATCTCATCAACTCAGAGTCTGAGACAGTGAGTCTGTCGTATAGTTAAGAAAACATTTAAGAACGTAATATTTTCAGGAATAACACTTGTTCTTTGAATTATTCTTAAGAAAACAGTTAAGAAAACAAGAATTCTTAAGAACTTATTTGAAGAATAAACTTTTTTCTTAAGAACGAAGTTCGTGAATCTGGTCCTTTATCCCTCAGAATTAAAGAGGCTGTTTTTGTTGCTGCACCTTTAAGACTGATACATGTAAATGAGCTCTGTTCTGACTGGCTGTCCTGTTTTGCCTCATTCGAAAACAGCAGTTTGGTCTGAAACACCCCTTATAACGTCAGTGTGAGTGGGCGGGGCTAAACTGCTGTAGGCTGTGAATAGGTGGATATAAGCCAACAGACAAAACAGGCCATTTCTGGAGCTTATTTTTCATATATGGGGGTGAATTCTGAGTTTTGGATCAACGTTTAATGCATAAAACGTTAATGTGTTCAAGGAAAAAAAGCTAAAATTTATGATATGGGCCCTTTAAGTAGAATAATATGTTTAGAGTGTTCTGTACGTTCAGTTCCTTTGACTTACATTATAAATGGCTGGAGGAAAATTTTGCTACATTTTTTTCCCCCCACTGAACAACCACTTCGCTCAGGAGCTGTCGTAATATATCCGTTGCATATCTATATAATATTACAGCAAGTGTTTAATTGGCCATTATAAAATTAGTACATTCGGTCACTCTAATGTATTTATACTGCAGCATAAACTAGCACCATTCATAGCATATAGAGCTGAACTATGATGCCACTGTGTGCACAAGTGTACATTACTGTAAAGTTGCTCTGTGTAATGCCAGCATACTGAAACAGATATATTTCACAAGTGTTAAAGGGAAAGTCCACTGATTTTTTAAAAATTTCTCCATAATTAAATGCTTGAGAGGTAAACAGAGTCGCTCAGAGTGGTTCAGAGTGGTTTGGTGTGAAACGCTCAGTTCTAGAGAAACTTACTGAGTCAGAACTGTTCACAGTGGTGGTGATAGGAACCAGACGTCCACCTCTAAAAGCTCCCTCACAGAAAGTTCCTACATGAAATGGTTATGAATTCACTGCCTGATGACTGAGACACTGTTTTATGGTAGTTTAGAGAACTTAAACTCCATTCATGGTGGAGGGATACATGCAGGGCGCTGTGAGGCAAAATAGTCCCCAAAGAAAACGTATTATTTCAGATTTTCCACTATTTTCCATCATCAACATTCCATATAAACTCAGAAGACTCGTGTAGGTTCACTGGTGGTTCTGGATAGTAAATAAAATGTCTATATCTGTGTTGTAGTCATGGCGACCCCTGGTTCCCATCACCACCACTGTAAAGACATCTGAACCATTTCACACCAAACCACTCTGAATCACTCTGATTACACCTCACATAATCAATCATAGAGCTATTTGTAAAGGAATCAGTGGAGTTTCCCTTTAAACCTTTGTTTTGGCTACAGGACAAAGCCTCTCGATATGTGGGCTGACAGTGGGGTATCAGATAAAGGGGACCAGTGTGTTCAGCTGAAGGAAAAGGCAGAACCAAAGAGGAAAAAAAGGCGGGCTTGCATTGGCGTGACGGGCTGGGTTGGGTCAGTGTGAATGGGGTCTTCTGTTGCAGGGGGAGTCGTACATGAATGTTAGCTCAGTCCGAGAGAGCGAGACTAACTGGGTTTGGTGTTTCAAGGCCCTGATTTATAAAATGGAACAATCAGTGTCATCCTTCTTCTCTCCCCGCCTCCGTCCTCCGTGGTGAGACACTGTCTGACCTCGCATCTGCCAAAAAAATGCATCACAAATCACAATCAATACACCGATCAGGCATAACATTCTGACCACCTCCTTGTTTCTATGCTCATTGTCCATTTTATCAGCTCCACTTACTATATAGGTGCACTTTAGTTCTACAGTTACAGACTGTAGTCCATCTGTTTCTCTGATACTTTGTTAGCCCCCTTTTACCCTGTTCTTCAGTGGTCAGGACCCCCATGGACCCTCACAGAGCAGGTACTGTTTGGGTGGTGGATCATTCTCAGCACTGCAGTAACACTGACGTGGTGGTGGTGTGTTAGTGTGTGTTGTGCTGGTACGAGTGGATCAGACACAGCAGTGCTGCTGGAGTTTTTAAACACTGTGTCCACTCACTGTCCACTCTATTAGACACTCCTGCCTTGTCAGTCCACCTTGTAGATGTAAAGTCAGAGACGATAGCTCATCTGCTGCTGCACAGTTTGTGTTGGTCATCCTCTAGTCCTTCATCAGTGGTCACAGGACGCTGCCCACAGGACGCTGCTGGCTGGATATTTTTGGTTGGTGGACTATTCTCAGTCCAGCAGTGACACTTAGGTGTTTAAAAACTCCAGCAGCACTGCTGTGTCTGATCCACTTGTACCAGCGCAACACACACTAACACACCACCACCACGTCAGTGTTACTGCAGTGCTGAGAATGATCCACCACCCAAATAGTACCTGCTCTGTGGGGGTCCATGGGGGTCCTGACCACTGAAGAACAGGGTAAAAGGGGGCTAACAAAGTATCAGAGAAACAGATGGACTACAGTCTGTAACTGTAGAGCTACAAAGTGCACCTATATAGTAAGTGGAGCTGATAAAATGGACAATGAGCGTAGAAAGGTGGTCAGTATGTTATGGCTGATCGGTAAAGCTTTGAACAGAAGAATGGACACAAAGAACTGCACAGTCAATGCTGCACTGTTATCTATAATAACGGACAAAATTACAGTCAAAATTCAGGCTTCAATCTGTCTACTACTGTGTTTGTCTGTGCTAACCTACTTTAGTCCATGTTTATATATAACAGTGAGTCATACAGTGTCAGAAACACCATAATCAAGTCTATTAGAGTTACTGAACACGGTCTGAGACTGTGTGGAGTTGTGTGTGTGTGGTGGAATATAAGCTTCCATTCCTTATTAGCTCCACAGTAGCTGTTGTTGGCTGGTCCTGTTACCTGTTCGGAGACATGCTGCTGCTGCTGCTGCTGCTGCTGAGGCTGCTGGTACTCCTCCTGCTGAAGCTGTCTGGCCAGCTCCAGGTCACTTAAAGGTCCAGGAGCTTCACCCTGATCCCTCTGCAGAGACACGGCCACCAAGTAGTCCTAAAGCAGCGCAAACACACAAAGCCACCCCAGCGATTTAGTGAAAGGTCGATCAGCCAAGACAAGTTTGGTGTCTGAAGTTTGCTTATTTAGTTTTAGATGAGAGGCTAAGCTATGATGCAGGCAGGTTACCATGGCAACAGCACCCAGTGATGGTAAAAGCATCCTTAATTTATTAATTTATTTATTTCATGCCCTAGTTATGTTTAAATGCCAAGATCTTCTTCAATCCAATTATAGATTCAGACTGAGGTGTTTATTCTCACTCTACTCAAGAATCTGATAAAAATCTCTGTTTACATTCACACTACAAGCATTCAGGGGCCGGATTCATGAAAGTGTCTTAAAAAAGAAAAACTTCTTGAATGTGTACTTTTTCTTAACTTCATTCTTAAGAAAAAAAAAACGCTACAAAAAGTGTTATTCTTCAAACAATTTCTCAAGAATTAACTTTTCTTAATAATTTTCAGAACGAGTGTTCTTCTTTAAAACATTCTTTAAAAAGTTCTTAAATGTGTTTTTAATCTTATGAGTGACAAAGTCGGTATCTAAACTGATCAAACTCAGCGCTGCCTCTGCAGCTCCTCATCCTCATCTCTCTTTCCACTTTCTCCATCACCTCTGGATCTTGTTTGCTAAATTTTTAAAACTCGTTTTGAGGTTTTTCTCCATTTTGCTCCTCTGAGTGGATTAAACTACATAACGGAAATAACCGTTAATAATTCAAAATGTATCTCGACACTTTGAGAACAAAGTCGTAATATTTTGAGATAAAAAGTTGTATGGTATGATATTTTGAGAATAAAGTCATAATATTTAGAGAATAAATTTGTAATATTTTGAAGATAAAATTGTATTATTTTGAGAATAAAGTCATAATATTGAGATAATAAAATTGTAGAACTACAACATTAAAGTGGGATATTACCAGGAAAAGTCACAATATTGTGGCCAAAGGCTTTGCGAAGGGAAGCAGCATCTCCTGGTGTTAAATGAGGGGCGTTGAGTTGGTGGAGTTCTACTTTCATATCGATTCACCCATAAAGAAACACTCAGTCTCCCTGTCTCTCCTGCACATCAGCACCAGCCTGTTATTAGTATAAGAACCGGCTGAAACGGCTGAGCAGGAAACTGAGTTTACCTAGAATAAAGAGCCAGACGGACTCGGAGGAAACTGTCTGTCTGCGTTGTTGAAGGAGAATCTCAGGCAGGGTCGTCTACACGGCTATCAGGGGCTCCATCTCCCCCCATTCAAAGAGGGCATGAAGTTTCACAGACAGTGAGAATGACGATCAAAATGATCCACAGAGAGACAGGAGTGAGTGGAGCTCCGGCGCCAGTACAGCAACCGAGACCCCAACGCGTTATGGCAGCCCCCCTACAGTACAGCAACCGAGACCCCAACGCGTTATGGCAGCCCCCCTACAGTACAGCAACCGAGACCCCAACGCGTTATGGCAGCCCCCCTACAGTACAGCAACCGAGACCCCAACGCGTTATGGCAGCCCCCCTACAGTTAGACCACTTTATCCTCCAAATATCTTTACGACTTCACTATCGAAATATTTCAAGAATAAAATCGTAATATGACGATTTCATTCTAAAAATACGGCTTTATTCTCGAAGTCTGTTATTTTTATTTTTTAACAGTGGCCCTAAAACGCCGTCGTAGTTCTCTATAAACATGAACTAAAGAACGGAAACAATTCAGGCTTCAAGGCGGAGCTCCTGTTTCTACTCACTGACGTCCGCGTTTCTCCATGTTTACAGATAACAGTCACAGTGTCAGCGTCACAGCTGATCGACGACATGCTTATTTGGATGTACTTGAAATCCATTTTCAAATTAAAAAACAAACAAACAAACAAGGCAGGTATGTGACCTGGTCGATCTGCATCTGCTGCTGCTGTGGCGTGGTCTGGCTGGCCGTGGTGGTCTTCTGTGAAGGGTGGCACAGTCTGAAGTCCGAGTCGCAGAAGTTGCAGTCTCCCTCCACGTTGTGTAAACTCTCCCACACGACTCCGTCCTCATGCAGGAAGCCCTGGTCTGTCACCAGCAGGTACAGATGACCCTGCAGTTCAAGCACAGCTTTAGATTCCTTTGCAGTTTTAACAAATAAATAAAAGTACGACTCTAGAACTGTTCTGCATTCCTTTATCACGAGAACACAGGCCTGCAAATGAAAAAGAACTCTAAAAATGTTCTGCATCGCTTCGGCATTACTTCATTTCTATTTATTAAATATAACAAATTGGAAAAAAAAACAAAAAAACAAAATGTTTTTGCACATGCCACGATTGTGTTTTCCAACATGTTTAATCAGCAAATAAACAGAAGTTGTTGCAATTGTTGAAAAGGTTGCAGAAAATTTGATATTTAAGTTTGCTTCCTTAAGCCCGATTCGAACAGGATCAGTGTTTACCATGCTAATGTGATGTATAAGGAATTTGCTGGGACAAAGTACTTGTGTAATCACAGTACAGGTGGGTGATACGGCAAAAATTTAACATTGCGATTTCAAACAAATTTCACAATATTTTTTCAGACATCTGATCAGTTGGAACAGAGAAAGTAGTGCTACATTTTAAAAATACTATCAAAAACAGTGAACACTGACTTTTATTCAGCATTCGGCACTAAATCCAGTTAAACTGGACTAATTTTGTTCTCTTTATAATGAAACATGCAGTTGGTCAAGTTTCTGCAAGCACTGATGATAAACACGATATGTTCAGAAAAGCATATTTTATTGCCACATAAATTATCACAATAACGATATATACTGTCATATTGCCCAGCCCTAAATCGTAGCCTGTCAGCATTAGCATTACAATTAATCCGTATTTCTATGCTGTATTATCACAAGGATACAGAACCACATACAAAAACACTGAATTTGACGTGCAGGCGAGTTCACAGACCCCAGAGGGATAAAATCACAGATCTCATTTTAATTTTAATAACAAACTACAGCACCTTCGAAGGCATCAGCAAAACTGCTCCAACTCTTTTCAGGTTTATTTACAATCAGAAAATCAACAAAGCGTGTAATTTGACTGGGGTACCCAAACTTCAGTGAGTGAGGAGATGCTAAAGCAGCTTCTGCTGAACTGCAGGCTGAGAGGCTGACGAGTACCTTGTGCTTTATCATAGTGCTGAAGTGGTTGTTCCTGAAGAACACAGACAGCTCTCCCTCTTTAGCTGTGGTGTTGAGCTCACACAAGCCGTGATACGACAGCTGGGTGGCTGTGGACTCCAAAAACTGCTCCGCTATCAAACCTGGCAGGAAATGCGAGAGAGACAGAAATAGTCCAATGTAGTCGTGCGTCATTCTGTAGTCCTCGTTATGCCCGTATTAGGAGCTCCGGGTCTGAGCTCCATTTCTCTATGGCCAGAATGAATAGGGTTTGGGAACAATCGCCTCTATCGCCCCCTGTGTTAAACATGTTCAGAGCCCGATACGTTTTGTCCTGTAAACATTTTTCTCCTGAACACCACTGGATCCTCCGAATTACGAGGTCGTTAAAGAGCTATAATACTAATATTGGTACATGAGGGCTAAAGCTACTGCGCATCAATTTGACGTCACTAAGCTGCACTAAACTAAGGCGGGCTGTGGCGCTGCTCTGACGAGCTGTGCTACCTTATCGAAATGTTCTACTGTAGCGCTTAATTACAGGTATACCCGTAAATAAAACCTCTGGGTGGGATATTTTGAGGCTAAACCTCCTTATCAAAATACTCCCTGTGTTAAACTACGAGGCTGAATTCAGCTTCTTTTTTCACAGCTTCTTGTTTGAATGTTCCCGTTCCACCTTAAATGGTGCAGCAGCTGTGACTGGCTATCACAAACATTAGCGAACAAGACAAAACACTGACCTGTCGGTTCTGAGAAACAGCAAAAATAAGTTAATGTCTCTCAGCTGTTAAGCGGAACAGAGAAACCTCCTCATATCAGGCCTTTCAACCCTCCATGAAGCTGAGTCAGCTTCTTTTTCTCCGGCTGCTTGTTCGAATTTCCCCGTTCCACCTTAAATGCCGCAGCATTTCAGAACGTGACTGCTGCACCATTTAAGGTGGAGCGGGAAAAGTCGAACAAAAAGCTGGCTGTCCTGAGAAAAATGTTCCCAGCATTAAAATAACAATGAGGACATTCTGAGAGCCTAAATCAGTTTATCAGGGTGAGCAGGGATCATTAAGCCGAGTCGGTACCGGATCAGCCCGAGTTCAGGTTCGTTTGTAGAGCTTTTCAAATCCAGCTAAAAGGAAAGATCTACTGGGTTTCACTGAGCATCAGGTGAAGAACAGAGAGCTGCAGGGAAACCTGCTGATTTTGTTCGGACTCCTTTTCATTTCCCCTCAGGCTGAACATGGAAATGTACGCTGCCTAAACCCGCTTAAGGAGGCCGCCAGTCTAATGACGGGAATTCAGAGCGCAGTAGCTTCAGCTCACATGGAGCAATATTCATATTTCAGCTCTTTAACAATCTCGTAATTCGGAGGATCCAGTGATGTTAGCGAGGAGAAATGTTCGCAGGACAGAACGTATCGGGTCCTGAACATTTGTATTTAACACAGGGGGCGCTAGAGGCGATTTTTCAAAAACCCTATTCATTCTGGCCAGAGAAATGGAGCTCAGACCTGGAGTTCCTAATATAGAGCACGGTGACTACAAAATGACCGCACGACTACAGTGGTCTATGAGTCACCATCAGCTGGGTTCAACGGGAGTGAAGTACACACAGTGACCCTACTCCACCTAATAATAATAATAATAATAATAATAATAATAAATCTATACTGATTTAGTACAAGTCTTCACAGGGGAAGACAAGCAGAATATCTAAAAGCCAAAACATTATGGTTAAAATAAAGTAATATTAATGAAATATTAGCACAGCTATAGATCATACAGGATAAACAGAATCTAATCTCTCTCATCGGTTCAGTTCCTTCCTCTTGATGTTGTGAAACAGCTCATGGTTCCTGTAGAGGCTTCAGTGTTAGTATTTATAATGGAAATCAGTTAAAAATGGTCCTAACTAAAGGCTCTCTCACCTTCGCTGACTCTGCTGCTGTCTGCTGAGTGCTTGTACTCTATAATCTTCTCCACCAGCTGGTTGTAGCTCAGTTTTCCCACTGCAGACACCATTTCTGGACTCTAGAAGACGAACGCATCAAAACTCATCTGTACCTGTTCTATTTATATGCCCGTTAATCAGCTACAGGTGTTGAGATATAATTGACAAACTTTTTAAAGACAGAGGGAACCTGAATCAATGTTTTCTGTCTAAGTAGTACTGAGAGAACGCTAACCACCAAGCGGAAGCTACCCTATCAAACATTTTCATTCTCAGCACTGCAGTAACACTGACGTGGTGGTGGTGTGTTAGTGTGTGTTGTGCTGGTCTGAGTGGATCAGACACAGCAGAGCTGCTGGAGTTTTTAAACACCTCAGTGTCACTGCTGGACTGAGAATCGTCCATCAACCAAAAATATCCAGCCAACAGCGTCCTGTGGGCAGCGCCCTGTGACCACTGATGAAGGACTGGAGGATGACCAACACAAACTGTGCAGCAGCAGATGAGCTATCGTCTCTGACTTTACATCTACAAGGTGGACCGACAAGGTAGGAGTGTCTAATAGAGTGGACAGTGAGTGGACACACCACCACCACATCAGTGTTACTGCAGTGCTGAGAATGATCCACCACCCAAATACTACCTGCTCTGTGAGGGTCCATGGGGGTCCTGACCACTGAAGAACAGGGTAAAAGGGGGCTAACAAAGTATCAGAGAAACAGATGGACTACAGTCTGTAACTGTAGAACTACAACGTGCACCTATATAGTAAGTGGAGCTGATAAAATGGACAATGAGCGTAGAAACAAGGAGGTGGTCAGAATGTTATGGCTCATCGGTGTATATTTATAATATGATTACAATCTAATATATGTAATTATTTGTATTAAAACATCATTCTTGATACAAAGCTTTCTAGACCTAAAAACACAACAGAACACGTCTAAATTTGTGCTCATTTTTTTAAACCAACACTGGAACTTTACAGCTTCTTATTAGAAAAAATACATTTATCTGCAACAAAACTGATTGTATGTTATTGAAAAGTGATTTCATACATCACCCCAGTTCTGACCTGTGGGTCTACCAGCCAGCCGTGGTACAGTGGAATGTCGAGAAGGTCGAAGACGATGCATTCGGGCGTGTACTCGAAGTCCGTCACTCCGGTGAAGCGAACGTTCACATCGAGACCGGTGGAGAGCTTCGGCAGCACCGCCATGGCGTCACTCATATTCTGAGAGAGAGAGAGAGAGAGAGAGAGAGAGAGAGAGAGAGAGAGAGAGAGAGAGAGAGAGAACAGGTGGACTCAAAACTATACAGTATTTCTGTCCTGATCAAAGCTCAGCCTCACTGCGCTCTAATCTCAGATGTTGGTAAGAGCAGATTTCTCAATCGTTGCCACAGTTTAGTGTATTTAGAGTGCTGTGCAGATTTTTAAAGACTCATACATACAATTATATAATTTGATGAATAGGTTTTATAGATTTAAAGACGATAAATGCTGAATCCATTAAACACATCACATCAAACTTTCAAAAACATTTAAATTTTTAGTCTCAAACCACCTCCAATCAGCCGGACACTGTTTTACATGATTTTAGTTAACTTTTAAAGCGATTTCTGTTTTAGTTATTGTTTCATTTTTATTGTTCTATTTTTATTTATTTTAATATTGCCAAGCTTTTGTTTTACATCTTTTATTTCTTTATTTACTTCACTATTTACATAATTTTTTTATTCTTATTCTTTCTTATTTATATATATTGAAACTATATTGTAAATTTAATGGTTTTAATTATTACTTTTTAGCTTTGATTTGATTTGGTTTTACTATTTAACATCTCACTCCTTGATCTCTGTTTTGGCTCGGCTACATTGTAAATGAGGGTCTCCCTCAATGTACTCCGAATTTAAATAAAGGTTGATTGATTGATTGACTGATCGATCGATCGGCATAAAATCACAGGATAAATATGGCCCAATGCACTCAGCGAAGTTCCCATTAAAAATACTACTCAAAAAAACAGCCACATTTCTACATGACCTTTTTCCAGCCTCTCTTTATCCCTCAGAATCAAACAGGCTGTTTTTGTCACTGCGCCTTTAAGACTGATATGTAATTGAGCTCTGTTCTGATTGGCCACCAGTACTGCCCCTTATTGAACGTTCACTCCAGTGTGAATGGGCGGGGCTAAACTGCTGCAGGCTGAATATGCATAGTTTTTTAAGACATCACAGAATCAATAAATTCCAGACCGTCAGTGCAGCTCAGTTTCCATATATGGACCGTACAGAGGTCGTTTTCGAACTTTAACAATGTTTACAGAGTAAAACAGGCCTGTTTTTTCCATGACACGGGCCCTTTAAAGAGCACAGGTACAGAGCTCAGGAACGAAATCCAAAATAAATATCTATCAGTGTGACAGCAGAGTTACACTTCAAACAGGCCGGAGTCTGTTAGCTCCTCTGAACTCAGAACAGGCAGCGTAACAGCGCACGGCAGCTGGGCTCACTGATCTCTCAGAACTGTACACACAGCAGTACAATCACTTCAGAAGAGTTAGGCCCAGTCCCACTCCACCCTTCGCCCCTCCCACTCAGCTCTACCCCTCCGTTTTGCGTGTTCTCTAGGCATTATGGTCCTTTTCTTCATAACAAGCATTAAAAATCACTGGTAATATGCTGATGTCTGGGTTGCTAGCCAGCTAAATTTCCTGTTCCACCTTAAATAGCGCAGCAGTTACATTCTGGCAGGGAAAATTCGAACGAGAAGCTGAGTAGCTGACTTCAGCCTCACATCACTGAAGAATTAGGGGTGGGCGATAATAAATAACTGCCCCCCTCTTTGAAGATCATATGATGCCCTAAATGTAACTAAAGCCCAGCAGTGAGGAGCTGAACTTTACCCTCCTCTGCTGTCACTGCAGACTGGCAGGGTCGCCTACAGAGCAGCGCTGGTAGCTGTTAATGAAGTGATGCTCTTTTTATTTGAGGGTCCCATTTCAGAGGGAAGATCTCAACCACTACCCCTTGTAGCTCAGATTCAGGGGTAGGGGTAAAAATAAGAAATGGGACTGGGACTAAATGGAGCCTGTCCATGTACCAGAATCTGCCTCCTAACTCCAGAGATGTGCTCCGGTGCGCAGCAACACTAAGAGGACCAGCGTATACTTTTTCTGGCTTGAGGCTTGAAGGCTTAACACAGCACCAGCCTGCCAGTTACCTGTGGTTGTGATGTCACAGCACATGGATGTTTGGTTGCTTCTGATTAGTCGAATTAATCTTAAAGCAGTTCACAAGCCCAGAGTTATTAGGTTAAATTTCCTTTATTTAAAACATACAGAATATAAGATTATAATAAAAAATCGCAGCTCTTGTGATTTGGAAACTGCACTCTTTCATCTTTCAGCCCTAACTGCATCACTGTATGATGATCTGATGCGTAGAAATTATATAATAAAACAGAATTAGAACAGGTTAAGCATTATTAAAGTGTGGAGATGCGCTACACAGCCATTATCAGTGTGGTTCTCTCTGTATGAATGGGAGTTTAAGCCGGAGCTCAGTGGGTTTAGCGAGGTTTGTTCCTACCTGCTGGAAGTTGAGCTCCATGCCCTCGGCTTTCTCTCTCGGCTTAATGGATAACACACACTCACCTACGGCGACAGATACAGAGACTGAATTGAATCGGGGATCATTTCTTTCAGACACATTTATTTTTAGGGTTTAAAAAAAAATCTTCTTCTTTAAGAGAAACTTACCCAGGTGAGCCATTAGGTCCTCTATGGTAACGACCTCGGTCTGTGCAGGTAACTTGGCCTGCGGAGAAACCAGAAATTTTATTCGGATTATATCTCCACAACCTGGACCAAAGTGACAAATGTGTAGAGGTATATGCTAACAGCATCAAAACAGGCGCACAGTATGATCTCAAACTGTCCATTTGACCCTAAAAAATAAACGTCCCCAAAAACGTTATCTGTTAGAGGGAGTTTAAAGCTCTGCTGCTGGTTTTTAAAGCTCTAAATGACCTTAAAGCTCCTGAATGTCTGTTTATGATCTCAGATCTGCAGATTCTGACCTTCTGAACTCCTTCAGTAAAACACAGAAAACGTGGAGAGACTCTTTCAGTTATTCTGCTTCTAAACTGTGCAGCTCAGTTCAGCTTTTATTAGACAGTCGAGCTCAGAGCTCACTTTTAATAAACATCTGAAAACGCAGCTCTTTAACTCAGAGCTTCAGTAAAACTCTACGGCTCTTTGATCTTTATCTCTTTGATCTGATCTGTTATCTTTTTAAATTAATACTCATAGTTTCTTGTATTACTCTTAAGCTTTATCTCCTGTCTGTAAATCACTCTGAGCTGCCACCAGCATGAAAAGTGCTCTATAAATAAAGATATTATTATTATTATTATAATTATTAGGAGCGATGCCACAGAAGAACCACTTCTGATTCACGATGTGGGTGTGCAGAACCTGTTAACAGTGAAATTATTCCACTGTTCACTTGCTCTGAGCATTATTTCTCCATAGAAGCAAACGTCATAGGATAATTTCAAAAGATAACAGAACAGTAATGATATATTTTCAGGTTTGCAAGTATTTTCAAGTCTGAGGTCAGGTAGATATTTGATATTTTCTGTGTTAAACACGTTCTTGGTTCTAATTCTGTTCTACACAGGACCATGTCTCAGATAAAAAAGTAAAAACAGAACTTTTTCAGCTCCTGTTGCCTCTTGCAACACAAAAATCACAATCACTACAACTCATAAACTCTTCAGAGAAAAAGCCCAGTTATTTGAGTGGGTGTGTCCATAGCATAAGCCCCACCCCTCTGCTTTGACAGGCTGCACCTGGATAATCTGATCTGAACACTGACAGTAGCTGTGTCCCAATTCAGGGGCTGCGTCCTTTGGAGGCTGCATTTGAAGGCCGACTGCGTCACAGCGGCACGACTAGGCCGTCCCATTTCGAAGCTCCTTCATATGCAGCCGAGAAATGTGTCCTTCGCTTCAATGGCAACGAGGTATCCAACGGGTGGATCCTTCGCCAGCCAACAGATCCCGAGGTTCACTGCATGCCGGCGAGGATTCGAGAACATGGTGGCGTCAGCAGAGGAGCGAACGGCGGCTGAGGAGACACTTTACCTGTCTGTATTGGGTTTAAACTGAGACGAATAGCGAACGATACAGATGCTTAACCTCTTCTGCTCGTGGTCGGTTTGTCCATCTGAATTTAGATGCCCAAATCTTAAGGCAAATTATTCAGTAGCTGCATTAAATACATGTCAATTTAATTTTTTTTTGTAAAAGTTCCCCTCAAATTAACAGAACGTGTTTTATGATCACACATATCACTATATGCTTACAATTTACTGCTCAAAGCCAAAAAGACGCTCTTTGTATTATTTTATAAAAATAATGTTTACAGAGCAGATCACTGAAGAGACGCCATCTGTTTACAGTTTATAGCCCAGATTTGTGGAAAAATGGGTCGACTTTCAGTACAAAAAAATTACAAGTTTAGCTTCTTTGATTATAAGGATTTAAAATTACATCACCCATCTATTTGACTGGAACTGACCTTTTGAATGTAGCTTAGGAAATATGAAAGTTATGAAGTAAACAATATGACGAAGTGTGTTTTGGAACCACCGGTGGTTCCACAGAGTTAAAAAGGTTTAATACATCACTTTCCAGTGAAGCATGTGCAGCTCAAATAAATGGAAAAATAAAAAAAACTAAAATCAAAGTTTCCTCATCTTCAAAGAACTTTAAAAGAACTTGACAGGAGCGGCGTTCCGTGACGCAGCGGTGGGGGCGGGAACAGCGGTGCTGTGACCCAAACAGGAAATCCACCGTAGAGCAAACCATCTCATTTCAGTTCAGCCTTTACGGGTCTACACAGCCTTTGAAGGATGCAGCCCCTGAATTGGGACACAGCTAGTGGTTTCCACAAATGGCAGTAAAAGAGAGATGCTCTGAAGAGAGTCTGGGATAGTTTTACATCTCCATACACTGTTTTGTACATTTTCTTTCTTATTTTTGACACTGTATTGAAATCATTCCCCCCTGACTAAAGGTGAGACTGTCAAGGTGCCTCACAATTCAATTCTGATTCGAGATGCCAAGATGTGAAATGACTCTCGATGCACCTGTATTGTTTTTCGGTTTCTATATGATGTCAGATATAGATGCATATGCTTTTTCAACATCCACTGATTTAATAAAAACATTTAATGAAAATCCCATTAAATATCAAAATATGAAACACTTTTGTTCTGAAAGTGACTGAAAAAACGTGCATTTGTGGCCGTTTCCTCTCAACAAATGATGCACACAAAAGGGACCTGTGTGCTAATAGCGCCCTCTACTGCAGAAACCTCAGACTGCTAAATGTGCTACAGTAAATGTGTTCCAAATCTACATTCACACGTTTTACATGGTTAAAAAATAAGCGGGTGTTTTCCAATGTGGCAGCGGAGATGCTCTGCAATTCAGCCATAAATGTATTACGTATTCATAATTTTATAATTTTTCTGGCATTAGAGGTTTACAGAAATTGCTGAGAGTTTTCCTCAGATGGTATGTCGCTCTCTGGAAAACTCCCAGCATATTTTTTGCCTTATATACTGCAGCTTTAGAGTTAATATTTCAGCAAACATTTGTACTTTAAGCCTAATTCTGAATTCTACTGTATTAGCCTGTAAGCAGTCTTCTAAGACAGCTTACAGAACTGAATTTCTACATAAACATTTGATTATGAATCAATTATTGTTCCCACCATTACCCTTACTACACTTTTAAAAAAGACGGTTCTTCAATGTTTTTTTAGTAAAGAAAATATAATATATAGCACCAAAAAGGGTTCTTCTATTGTGATGATGTCAAGCCTGTAACAGAAGAACTAGAACCCTTTTCAAAAAGGTTCTATATGGATAAACAGATAGAAAGATAGATAGATACTTTAAAAAGATGGTTTGTTAGTAAAAAAAATGGTTCTATACAGAAACAAACACTCAAAGAACCCTCTGCATGATTAAAGGGTTCTTTGCATTGTGAAAGGGTTATTCAGACTGATGAATAGTGTGCTGTAGATGGTTCTGTATAGCACCAAAAAGGGTTCTACTATTGTAACACGCATCATAACAATAATGGAACCTTTTTTGATGCTGTATATAAAAGATCCATCTGCTTCACGTTCTCCATCAATCTGAAGAACCCTTTCACCATGCAAAGAACCAGTTAATTATGCAAAGGGTTCTTTGAGTGTTCATGGTTCTATATAGAACCGTTTTCTTTACTAAAGAAACTCTGAAGAATCTTTTTTTTAAGTGTGTAGATAGAATTACTGAGAAGTATTCCATATCGCTGTTGTTGGAAGAAAACCTCGTATCTCCAAAATGGTAACTTTACAGGAGAAGGAATAAACATACTTTACTTTTAATGTAACTCAATGGAACCAGAATTTTTTCCAAGTCATTTTGGGTCGTTTCTTTTGGTCCATTCATCATGAAATTTACACACAATGTAAAGAGTAACAGGTATTTTCAAATTATGTCAAAAACTGAAAAACGTCAAAAATGGAGATACTTCCAACAGCAGCGATATATTTGATGAGATATTACATGACTTCACCTGCCGAAGCCTAATTTCCCTCAGTGCGGGGCTACAGACTGCTCACCTTCCATCGCAGGAAGAGGATGTTCATGATGGCGAGCAGAGGGCACGGTCCGTTTTCACTCTGCGTGATGATGGGGGTCTTCTTCTCCTTCCAGGTGATCCACTTCACCAGGTAGTACTCCGGCACCGCCTGCGACGGCCCTGGAGCCGCAGCCTGAGCCATCTCCACACCTACTACGTCATCGGTCAACGATGGGACCGCAGCTTCAGCTAGTTCGACGCTCAGGACATCATCACTCAAAGACAAGGCCTGGTCAGACTTGGTGGAGGTCAGGGATTCGTCCATGGACAGACCGTTCTCTTCGGAAACATTCATCGTGGTCGTGGAAATGGAAGGTGTTTCCTCCAATAAGCTATTCATGGAGGACTGGCTGTAGGTCACCTCTGAATCCTCTCTCTCGGGAAGGTTCTCACCGGCTACCGGACTAGCGCTGACCTCGGCATGACCTGAGGACGCTGAGGAAGCTGTGCTAGTTGGAATTTGCTGGCATGATGATGCTTTGCTGTCCTCGGCGTGTGCAGCGGCCTCCGTTATGTCTTCTCTTTGGCTGCTTTCCTCCTTCGCGGCCACTTTATCATCCTGAAGTTTAGACGCTTTCATCTGTTCCCCTTCACGGGCTGCTACAACCCCCCCGTCAACTGCGTCTGAACAAAGATCTGACATGGCCTAACGCTTTTACAGAAAACAATAAGGCAATAATAAATATATATCTATCTATACACCCTCTTAACGGACACTCAATGCAAACCTGCAAGTCTCTTGTTAAAAAGCCCTTTGAGCTGTTTGGCTGTTTCTGGCAGTGTATATTAAGTTTCCTTCACATTCCTGAGTCTTTAAGCTAGTGTTGTGATAAATAACCATTACACAAGCTGCTGCATCTTATCGCCTCATCCGCTGCAACGTCACCTTCCGTCCTCCGGCCGTTCGCGGCGATAGAATTAGCTCGTTGAAATAATATTTACTTATTTAGATGCTTTCTGAAGCTCAACGCTGAGCACAAGATCAGAGCCACAAGGAGTTATGTGGCCAACGTGATCCAGACAGCCAGCAAGTCGCTGCATGAAATTAGAGCTGTCTTCTGCTCCGTGGGCCGCAGATGAGATGAGTCATGATGAGTACGAAGGCTTGGCCTTTTGTGATATTAGCACTTCTGGCTTTTAAAAGCTGACACTTTTCAAAGCCATGCTCACAAATATAATAAAAACAAAGGGCACAGGGCAGGGGATTACTTTGGAATGAGAATCATGGTGATTATTTATCCAAAAAACAAAACAAAAAAAGATCTGCAAAGCAAACCTATTTGGCTTATATCGACAGCATGTCCGTGCTCAGTGCACCGCAGGCCCAGCTGTGCGGGGCAACATGGCCGAGTGAGGTGAGCCAAGGCCAAACCGGGGAACGAAGAGGCTCTACGCAGGCATTAGTCTCTGAAACAATGGAAAGGAAAACAGTTACTCAACAGCCTGGGAGTTTACACAAAACAGGAGGGGATTTCACAATGTTGGGCACACAACTAGAGAAAAAAGTCAAGCCTGTCCAACAGGATGAAAGGTACGGACGTTCTGCATAATCAAATGGTTAAGATGACACTGTTTTATGATAGTTTTGAGAAGATTTTGTGTTTTTAAACCCATTCACGGCGGAGGGATACATAATATGCAGGGTTCTGCGGCAAAATAGTCCCCAAAGAAAACTTATTATTTCAGATTTTCTACTATTTTCCATCATCATCATTCCATATAAACTCAGAAGACTCGTGTAGGTTCACTGGTGGTTCTGGATAGTAAATAAAATGTCTATATCTGTGTTGTAGTCATGGCGACCCCTGGTTCCTATCACCACCACTGTGAAGACATCTGAACAATTTCACACCAAAGCACTCTGAATCACTCTGTTTACACCTGAAACACTGGATTATGAGGAGGACTTTGAAAAAAATCAGTGGAATTCTCCTTTAAGCCAAAGCTGAGCTCCTGTTTGAGGTGTGTCACACAGCAGGAGTCTCTGTAAACTGGATTAATTCAGCCAAAAGTGAGGATTGTGCAATAGGGGTGTACTTTACCTCTTCGCCTACTACACAGGCCTGAGTTTTGGCTTAATTTATCTTGCTTTGTGAAACCACCGTCAAGGGAAATGTAACAAAACCTAGTCGCTCAATTACTCAATCCTCAAGTTTAGATTCAGTTATCCAGCTAAACTGAGAAGCCAGGCTTTATGAGATGCTCTCCTAGATCTATATTCGTTCTATATGATGCATATTTTACTCAGAGGACAAACCAGCAGCAATGTGGTTCCAGTGTGTTCCACAAGATCAGCTTAGCCACACTCTCAGAAAAGATGGTTCTTTAATGGTTCTTAAGCTGAGGGAGTGGTTTCCGAGCCATTTCATGTTTAAATGGTTCTATGTATGGTGAAATGGATCTTCAGACTGACACAGAATGTGTTGTATGTGGTTCAATATAGCACCAAAAAGGGTTCTGCTGTTATGATGCCAAGCTTCTAACCCTTTTTGTGCCATACAGAACCATTTTCAAGAACTAACAACACATTCTCCACCGATCCGAAGAACCATTTCACCATACAGAGAACCATTTAAGCATGAAACAGGTCTATATATGGTGAAATGGTTCTGCAGACTGATACCGAAAGTGCTATATGTGGTTCTATACAACACCAAAAAGGGTTCTGCTGTTGTGATGCCAAGCTTCTAACCCTTTTTGTGCCATACAGAACCATTTGCAAGAGTTAACAACACATTCTCCACCGATCTGAAGAACCATTTCAGCATACAGAGAACCTTTTAAGCATGAAACGGGTCCATATAGGACTCATGATTCTATAAAGAAACAACAGAACTCTTTTAGGTTAATATAACACATACAGCACATTCCCCACCAATCTGAAGAGCCGCTTAACCATGCAGATGGGTCTACACAGAACCCACAGTTCTAAACAGAACCATCGCCTTCACTAAAGAACCATCTTTTCAAATATGTAGCTAGCTAACATCACTGTGACGAGCCCAAAGGGGTCCAGTAATGTCCGTGAAACTTACTACATCCAAGCGAGTAAAGCCGTTCCACCTTAAACGGTGTAACTGCTGCACCATTTAAGGTGGAACGGGAAAATTAGATCGAGAAGCTGGAGAATGGGAAGCTTCGTAGCGAAAAATGTCTGTAACTGTTCCATCTCCCTCTTTAAGGGGACAGAATCAGCTCCTCTACATGTTAATCAGCACATCTGTCCACTTTATCTACTTCTTTAAGTTACAACTTACCTCGCGCTCGCCGGCTAGGCTAGGCTAGGATAGGCTAGCGGGGCTGCAGCTGCTTTCCTCAGCACTTTTAGCACTTTGAGCGATAAAAGCTCACCGCATGTCGAAGCCCCTGCAAAATACTCGCTCCCCCCGCCCGGAGAGCAGCGTCCAGCCCGATGAAGCACTTTTTTAGGCGAAACTGTCAGCGCGAAACGTGAATAAACCGAATTCTCAGAACGGGCTAAATGCTAAGCGGTGACGCCGCACTGCCCGGCTTGTTTTTGTTTGTCTCATTTCCGGTGGAGCTGTTTGTAAACAATGACGCAGCTGCACGTTGCTGTAAACTGTATGCTGTTGTCTCGGGGAGGCGGAGAGATGCTGGAGACATAACACGAGACTGCTGCGACCGATTTCCCGAAAAAATAAATAGTTTTAAAGTGCGCACAACTTCTAAATCATGTCTCTTAAACGAGCCGCCTCTGGCGACCTCTCGCGTTCGGTGAGTGATAATGCAGCTCAGCGCGAAACGAATCAAGTGGAGTTCATTTTATACCTCGGAACTCTTTTTTTCGTTAAACGGCTGTTGAAAATGTTATTTTCCACCTCAGTCTGTCAAATCAGACTCTATACGAGTTGTTATCTCCATCAAAGACTGAATAACAGGGTTGAACACAGAGATCATATTCCTCATTAAGCTGTTATTAATGCAGTAAAAAAAACATATAAAGCATGGGTTCTCAACCTCTTCCACCTCAAGGTTTGTCTGTTTAATACTAGAAAGCATGAAGGCCTGGGAAAAAAAGGTTTTGCTTTAAAAAATTGGGAAATTTTCAACACAGCAGTGTTTTAGGTGCCAGAATGCATGATTTGTATTATGGAACATAAAATATCAACATATCAGGCTAACATACGCTTGTTTTATAGCTGAAATGGTGAATGGTGGCAAATTACGCTAAAAGTTTCACTCGCGAAGTGAACGAATGAAACTTTGGGGCACTGTATTTTGTTTCTGGAGACAAGGCGAGAAACACAGATTAAACTGATTTGTATGTTGTTGTTGCCTGGCTTGAATTAATATTGCTTACGGTTTGAAAAGCATTAATGTTTCTCTCTTGTTATAACATCAATTATTTTTTTCACAGTTTTTTATATAGTTTTATGACATAAAATGCCATTAAAGACCCACTAAGGACCACTGGCCCCCTGTGTCAGTACTGGCCCATGGACTACCAGAGTGTGCTTCATGGCCCACTGGTGGTCCGTGGTCCAGTGGACGAGAAACCCTGATATAAAGTAAACAACATAGAACAGACGGGAAGTTGAACGTTTGTTTTAATCAGAATGTTTTCATTAAAATCTTTGTTTCATTTCATTGTTATTTAAAATAATAGTTAAAAATGGGTAATGGTTGCAAATTTGGCTAAAATGAGATGAGCAGCATTCAGGACTGGTTAGCTTGACAGGGTGCACATAATACACACACACACAAACACACACACACATATATATATATATATATATATATATATATATATATATATATATATATAGATATATGCATAAAAGGGTTGAATCGATCGAGTTCTGCAAATTAAAATGACTTTTTTATTAAAGTAAATAAATGAAGAGGAAAAATCATTAAATTGCTTGTAAATGAACCAAATAACAGGGTAATGATGGTTTTACTGGAAGATATTAATGAATTATTTCATAAACAGTTCCAGTTCTATATTTCATAGAGAAAGTCAATGTTAGTGAGGTCCCCATGTTAAAGGAGGATAGACATTTTATGTGTTTTGCAATCATTTAAATGCTAAATTAGGTTAAAGTGCAGATCCCTTCATTACAGAATTAACTAAAAAACAACAACAACAGTCACTTTGCTACGGCGGCGTTTTAGGGCCACTGCTTTTAAAAAGCTAATGGGATGTAAACTGAACTTCACTTAAGGTAAGCACTGTATACTGGAGACCAACACTGTATGTCCAAAAATATCCAGACAGCCCTTCTAATGAGCCTGTATAACCTCCACAGAAAAGCAGTGACAAACAGCCACACATGGGGTTAAGGTCACCATGCCCAATGCCAAGCGTGGGCTCAAGGGTTCTTTAGTGAAGGGAATGGTTCTGTTTAGAACTATGAGTTCTATATAGAACCATTTGCATGCTTTAATCATTCTTCAGATTGATGGAAAATGCACTGTGCATGTATATGAAATGGTTATGAATACACTGCCTGATAGTTTTGAGAAGATTTTGGCCTTAAACTCCATTCATGGTGGAGGGATACATAACATGCAGGGTGCTGTGAGGCTAAATAGTCCCCAAAGAAAACGTATTATTTCAGATTTTCTACTATTTTCCATCATCATCATTCCATATAAACTCAGAAGACTCGTGTAGGTTCACTGGTGGTTCTGGATAGTAAATAAAATGTCTATATTTGTGTTGTAGTCATGGCGACCCCTGGTTCCTATCACCACCACTGTAAAGACATCTGAACCATTTCACACCAAACCACTCTGAATCACTCTGTATCTCACACACTGAGTTATGGGGGAATTTTGAGAAAAAATAGTGGAATCCTCTTTAAAGATTGAACGAGGGCTCATTCTGCCCCTTCCTGGGACAACACCGCCACCTTTAGTCGAGGATGAACTGTGCACCTGTCACCAGACTGGAGGAGGAGGAGGAGGAGGAGGAGGAGGAGGAACCAGAGGGAGAATAGATCCTTCACTTCATCATTATCAGGGTGTGGTAGCCGGCAAGACCAGCATCACAAAGACCTGCCACGCTTTTATTCACACTCTTTGACAGCTGCACTTCACAAGGACCCTAAAAAGAAAGGTAAATAATATTTTCTTCTGAAATTCTAGTCAATTGGTTCTAGACGTATGATTTTGATTGGATTAATATGTCATGCTCTTTATGATGCTGTAGATCTCTGTTTAGATCAGACAAACAGCCTGATGTGTTTGTAGAGCTGATAAAGCTGGCCTTCCAGCCCTGCCTCACAAGATACGGACCTTTTTTAATCCTAATTTCACAAATGAGGAGCATTTTAGCCAGAAATGTAAAGATGCATCACCTTACAGCTCAGAATGAGATCTTTCTGAGATTTAAGCACCGTTTTTACTCCTCACTAAGCCTATTTAGCAGCTTTGAGTCCCTCCTTTAATAGACATGTGGGTTATTTTCTGAGGTGATGCCTAAAGCAGCGTAGCTGACTCTCCAGTTATAATTAGCTCTGCTCTGGACAGTCAGTCACACAGTAACCCAAATATGGCCAATGCTCCTAATTAGTCCGTTTGTGTAGCTTATTGTGGACATTTTAGCTACAGATCTATCGAATGTAATCGAGTAAGAGCAGCGCGACACTAATCTGGACTGCTATTTGTTTTAGTTATGGGCTGAAAAGGCTAAACCGTGAAGCTAATTCAAGTGGTTTGCAAGCGATTTTTTCTCCCACGCGTTTTCAGGCTCGCCCCGCCCTTCCTCCGCTTGGATTGGCTGCCGCGCTCTGGTTACCCTGCGCTGTGATTGGCGAATTGCTGTTTACCGGCCAATCATAGCGCAGGAGCTCTCCGAATAGCGGTGGGATTTGGAAAAAAAGGCCGCAGGATTTTTCTGCCGCATTTAGCTGCTCGTGTCCGGCTTCAGAGCTGCAAAACAAACATATTTACACGCTTCAGGTTACTTCTGTTTATTTTTGTGTTTAAATGTTATCGCCTGGCTGTGTATACGGGGTATTTTTACTGTAGTATGTACATTTATACATTTAACGTGCTATATATACACGACCTAGAACATCTATATTTGTTTTAATTAAATTTATTTTTATGATTTGCTTAATTTCCAGCAGCTCCAGACTGGCTAGTCATATACACATCACAGTGCTAAATCATATCTTTAGTTGCTGTCACTTTTAGCTGTCTAAAGAAAAACATGTATCTCCATTTTTGATTTTGTTTTTTCATCATTTAAACATCTTGGCTGTCCTGACATTAATTTACATTGAAAGTTAAGTACGTTTTTGCTCTCTCCTGTAAAGTTACCATTTCAGAGATACATTTTTTTTCTTTGGACAGTGATGTTATATTGGCTAATACCACAAAAAACTGCTTGAAAAAGCTGTATTACTTCCAAAGTATGTTATATTTGAAATCCTATTTGTGTTTGTTTGGCTATAAACCTACAAATGTACAACATTTACAACTATGTCTCCTCAATTCAATTTGTGTATTGTAAAAAAAAAACAGCTATATCAATGAACATATTGACAAAATTTACATTTTTTTGGAGATATATTGTGTTTACCTCACAGAGGATGTGATGTCTGTCTGTCTGTCTCTCTTCTCTGCTGCCTCTCTCTCTTTTCAAACAAACAACACATTCACGATTTACATTATATTATATAATACATATAAATATATATTCACACACACATTTATATATATCACTGTTGTCAGAAAAAAACCTTGTATCTCCGTTTTTGACGTTTTTCAGGTTTTGACATAATTTAAAAATGCCTGTTGTTCCTTACATTGTGTGTAAATTATATGATGAATGGACTAAAAGAAACGGCCCAAAATGACTTGGAAAAAATTCTGGTTCCATTGACTTACATTAAAAGTAAAGTAGGTTTTTTCCTTCTCCTGTAAAGTTACCATTTTGGAGATACAAGGTTTTCTTCCGATATGTGTGTATATATATATATATATATATATATATATATATATATATATATATATATATATATATATATACATATATATACATACACACACACACACACACACACACACACACACACACATATGTATTATAGTATAATGTGAAGCATTAATGTGTTGTTTGTTTGAAAACTTTGTAACTTTGTTGGGCCCCCTTCTTCATCACTCATCTTTTTGAGTTTGTTCTACTCACTAAAACACGTCCACTTGAATTTTCAACCAGACAGTACAAACAGCTGGATTACTGAAATATGAATTGCAAGAAAATAAGCCACGATAATTTGATTTATTGAAGCACAAAAACCTCAGTGCTTTCAGCTTAAAAGATCGATGTGCAGCGCATTAAGTCCATGTGGTTTGTTCTCAGCACTGCAGAGTCATCATGCTGGAAGTGATGAGCAGCCAGTTTGACTCCTTTCTGTTCTGGAGGCAGCCGATCCCGTCTCTGGACCTGTCCGAGCTGGAGGACCTGGGCCTTTCAGAGCTGGCGCCCAAGAGCGGTCAGACGGGGAAGGGCAGTAAAGGCTCAGTGAAGTCTCCTCTGGTGGACGACGACGATCTGGATCTGTCTGAGTTCTCCACCTTCAACTACTGGAAAGAGCCGATCGCCAGCATCGACACGCTGGACTTTAACCTGCTGCTGTGAGGAAACACTGGAGCCCAGTTCACCCCCACTTTACCCGCCCTGAGCCGCAGCCTTTTACGCCCTCTGTCGCTTATTAAGGTTCATAATGTTTCCAAACACAAAAGCAGCACAGGCTGGAGTCTCCTGTGTCACAGTGCCTGTTCATAGAAACAAAGGGAGAGAAACGCATGTGTTATTGGTGCCGAACAGTGTAAAATACAAGATTAAGTGTTGTTTCACTCCACAGTAGCACAGTGAATTTACTTAACTCATCATTTCCACACTAATAAGATCTATTACAGTGACACAGATGTTGCCAAAAGTAAATAAACTGAAAGACAAAATTGCTGTAATGTATTTCGTTCATGTGGAAACTCTGGTGTAGTGAAGCATCAGGCTGGTGAGCTGTTAGGTGCTGGTTTGTGCACCTCACAGCTGCCATCTACAGTAATTACAGTACTAATTAAGGCGATGAGACAATAATACTGACTGTTTTGTTAAAACTGAACATTTTCATCAGTGTTTTTTTGTGATCAGTGTGTTGTTCCTCTCCTTTTAGATTAATAAATAGATTTAAATCATCCAAAATGTCTTAACGGCGTTCCTTTTTCAAATGTAATCAGATCTGATCACTTTGGTAGACTTTAGTCTGTGAAGGCCAAACACTGTTACTGTACACTTTTAGAAAAAGATGGTTCTTCAAGGGTTCTTTAGGGAAGACAGTGGCCCTATATAGAACCATGAACACTCAAAGAACCATCTGCATGCTTAAATGGTTCTTTGCATGGTGAAATTGTTCTTCAGGTTGATGGAGAATGTGTTGTATGTGGTTCTATGTAGAATCTTTTTTGAAAAGGGTTCTGCTGTTGTTTTAAGCTTGACATTGTAACAGTAGCAAAACCCTTTTTGGTGCTACATAGAACCATAAACACATTCTCCATCAATCTGAAGAACCATTTCACCATGCAAAGAATAGCATATAGCATAAAGTAGCATATAAGAACTTCACAAAGCCAACTTACTGACCTTACAGTGTTCAAACACAGTTTGTTTTCCATAAGAATAAACTGCAACACCTTAGCAACCATCTAGGGCAGCAGAGCAACACCTAGCAACACCTTAGCAACCATCTGGGATACCATAGTAACGCCTAGCAACACCTTAGCCACCACCTGGGATAGCATAGTAACTCTTAGCAACACATAACAACCACCTGGGATAGCATAGCAACACCTAGCAATACCTTAGCAACCGGTTGGATAGCATAGCAACAGCGTAGCAGTACCCTTTCAACCATCTAGGATCACATAGCAACAGCCCAGTAACACCTTAGCAACCACCTGAGATAGCATAGTAACACCTAACAACACCTTAACAATCATATAGGACAGCATAGCAACACCTTAGCAACCATCTGGGATACCATAGTAATGCCTAGCAACACCTTAGCAACCACCTGAGATAGCATAGCAACACCTAACAATACCTTAGCAACCGGTTGGATAGCATAGCAACAGCGTAGCAGTACCCTTTCAACCATCTAGGATCACATAGCAACAGCCCAGCAACACCTTAGCAACCACCTGAGATAGCATAGCAACACCTAGCAACACCTTAACAACCATCTGGGATACCATAGTAACACCTAGCAACACCTTAGCAACCATATAGGACAGCTTAGCAACACCTAGCAACACCTTAGCAACCATCTGGGATACCAAAGCAATGGCCTAACAACACTTTACACATAACAACCACCAGCCAACACCCAAACAAGCTGGAATTATTATATAGACCCAATTCAGCTTTCAGTCCTCAGTGTTTTGCTGCTCCTTCAGCTGTTGAGGTGTTGTTAGCTGACTTTTTCAAACCATCTTAAAATTCCCTTTCTAGTTACTATTTTATTATTATTATTCTACTTACTGTCCAAAACCACCAGTGAACCTACACGAGTCTTCTGAGTTTATATGGAATGTTGGTGATGGAAAATAGTGGAAAATCTGACATAATAAGTTTTCTTTGGGAAATATTTTGCCTCATAACACCCTGCATATTATGTATCCCTCCACCATGAATGGAGTTTAAGTTCTCTAAACTATCATAAAACAGTGTCTCAGTCATCAGGCAGTGAATTCATAACCATTTCATGTAGGAACTTTCTGTGAGGGAGCTTTTAGAGGTGGACGTCTGGTTCCTATCACCACCACTGTGAACAGTTCTGACTCGGTAAGTTTCTCTAGAACAGAGCGTTTCACACCAAACCACTCTGAACGGCTCTGTTTACATCTTAACCTCTTAATTGTGCAGAAATAATAATAAAAAAATGGTGGACTTTAATTTGTGCTGTAGTGCAGGTGTATGAACGCTGCTGTTACACTGCAGACCAGCAGGGGGCGGTAATGCAGCACTGGCCTACCAAATGACTGCAGTCTACATTTAAAACAGCTCAGAAGAAGACGTGCTGGACATGTGACTAACGTGTGGAAGATTCAAGACTGAACATGAGTTAGAGCACATCTATCTATCTATCTATCTATCTATCTATCTATCTATCTATCTATCTATCTATCTGTCCATCTATCCATCCATCTATCTATCTATCTATCCATCTATCAGGGCCAGTACTTCAATATGAAACTACCTTTATGAACTGTAACATGAATATGTAAAATAAAAATATATTAATAAATCCTAACAGGAATATTTAAATATAAAACTACCTTTCTGAACCGTAACGTCAATATATATATGATTAAACATAAAACAGAATTTATAAACTCTAACGTGAATGTTTTTAATGAAAATTCGGTATAAAAACTCAAACATAAATATTTAAATACGAGGCTACATTTATAAAATGTGAAACTACATCAATAAAGTCTCAGATAAATATTTAGATATGAATATATAAATTCTAACAAGAATGTTTAAAGGTGAAAAAAGAACTTATAAACTATAACATTATATAAATTTAGTGCATTTACTTTATATTCAAATATGAAAATGAATGTATAAACTGCAACATGAATTATGTATTTAAATATATTTATAAGCATTAACAGACTGTAGAATAATAAAAAGTATTTACGGAGCCCCGCTGGTGACATCCTGTATAAATAAAAATAATGCGTGGCCACGCCTTCTTAACGCCTTACTAAGTCGTGGCCACGACTTAATCATCTCATTCCCACGCCTTACTAAGTCGTGGCCACGCATTATTTTTATTTATACAGGATGTCAGCAGCGGGGCTCCGTAATAAAGTCTTTTATTACAGGATTTTTTTTTGTCAGCCCAAGTAATGAAATACTGGACGCCTGTAGTTCCCCGCTTGGCCAGCAGGAGGCGGCAACGCGGCGCTTGGGCGGTTGGTGAGGCGCTCAGTGAGTCGAAGAAGAAGAACAGCAGTAGTTTCGGTGGTGAGTTTTTAAAACTCTCAAAATAAAAAATTAAATTTAAGCGCAAAAACAGCTTTAAAAGGGAAATTCAGCGCCGCAGCGAAGGTAAGAGAGTTTCACCAAACGCGCCTTTACAGTTTAACCCGGGAAATGTTGAGGTTTTTGCCGAAAGAGAGGCGATTTTGAAGTTTTAGCAGCCAAAGCGAAGAAAAACAGCAGCAAACAAATTCAACACATTTACATATATTTACATATTTACATCTTCATACTGCAGTTTAGACGCGCGCGTCTGTGCTGAAATGATTTTATTAGGGTTTATAAGCGCAGGCAGGTCGTTATATGAGCATATTAGAGTTTATAACTGCAGTTTTATGTTAAAGTGTTCGTGTTAAAGTACAGAAATGCAGATTTGGGCCTAAATATCCACCAATCACACATCAGGACTGTAGAGGAGTGTTTACTTACTCACATTAGAGTTTGTGAACGTAGGTTTGTGTGTATTTTTCATATTAGAGCTTATTAATGTAGATTCATATTCGAACACTGCTGATATAGTTTAGTCCAATATAATAATACTAATAATAATAATATTATAGTGCACTTTTTAAAAAGATGGTACTTAAAGGGTTCTTTAGTGAAGGGAATGGTTCTAGTTAGGGCCATGAGTTCTATATAGAACCATTGTATGCTTTTGTGGAGAATGTGTTCTGTGTGGTTCTACATAGCACCAGAAAGGGTTCTTCCGTTGTTACAATGTCAAACCTGTAACCATTTTGGGTTTTGGGCATTATAGAATCATGAACAGCACATTTTCCATCAATCTGAAGAACCATTCCACCATGCAGAGAACCATTTAAGCATGACATGCTTCTATGTAGAACTCATGGTTCTGAATAGAACCCTTCCTTTCACTAAAACCCTTTGTAAAGCGCGTGCAGAACTGTGTCAGTTCATGTTACAGTATTAATGTTATGAATGCTTTACGTTTCATTAGGAGAAGCTTTGTGTGCATCACTGTTTTCTCTCCTTTCGCAGATTATTTCTCCTGCTATGATGGGTTTTAAAGATTGTTCATTAGGTTTAAAGTTAGACCTACGTTCTTTTCTCTCTGTCCTAGAACCCAGGGCAGATAAGTGTGCATTAAACAGGCCTGTACCTGCTGAAAACTGATCTAGATATATGATATACTTAATACATCACCGCTGACAGTCCTGCTTGTGATTAATCATGATGTTCTGATATTCATGTACTTGTTTTTCTCTCTCCTGTGTGGCTCAGATGTCCCTGGTGGACTTGGGGAAGCGGCTTTTGGAAGCTGCGCGGAACGGAGAGGATGAAGAAGTGCGGACGCTAATGGCGAACGGAGCTCCTTTCACCACCGACTGGGTACAAAACGCACATCTGCAGCTGAGCTCGGAGATCAGCAGAGCAGCATGACAGTGTTTATACACAGAAAACCTTCAGACCACATTAAAGCACCACAACGCTGCAGCATTTAAGGTGGAATGGAAAATTTGCAAAAGGCAGTTCTAGATAAAACGTAGACCTCCGTGTGTGAAGCTTCTAAAAGACGTTCTGTGTTTTGATTGAAGCCTGTGACGGACACGTTCGCGTATGTTTGATCTTCTGTCAGTTTCTCAGTGACTCTCAGTAGTGAGCTCTGCTGTAGAGCTGCCCTCACTGTTTTCCGTTTCTAACAGCCCACTGATTAGGCTGCAGCTCATATTCAGCCAGTGACGTATCTAGAACGTCCAGAAGGTCTAGCATGTGAAATCAAAGTATAATTGGTTGATTCTGCTAGTTAATCTAACATGTTAGGACTTCTCTTCAGCTCCTGAAGTCCTAACCAATAGGAAAGCTCGCTTAGCTTTATCTACCTGGATACCACAGAAAAAAGTATTCCTGATTGGCCAGTTTCCAATTTTGAAAAGAATTTAACAGGTTTGTTTCTGTTTTTTTTTAACCTTACAATAAAATAAGAGTTGCACACTCTTAAAAAAGATGGTTCTTCGAGGGTTCTCTAGTAAATGGTTCTATGAAGAACCATGAACACTCAAAGAACTTGTTGCATCGTCAAAGCGTTCTTCAGATTGATGGAGAAAGTGGTTTAGGTGGTTCTATATGGAACCTTTTTGAAAATGTAGAAGAACCTTTATATAGAAGAACCTTCTATATAGAAGAACCTTTTGGTGCTATATAGAACCCTTTTCAAAAAGTTTCTATATAGAACAATATGCACCATTTTCTCCATCAGTCTGAAGAACCATTTTCAATCATGCAAAGGGTTCTCTGAGTGTTCATGGTTCTATATAGAACCGTTTTATTACTAAAAAACCCTTGAAGAACCATCATTTTTAAGAGTGCAGAATTTAAACACTAACATGATTCTATTGAAAGAGAATTACCTAAAAAATTGCAGTTTTTAGTTCCTAGGAATCATCAGTCCTCCTCTGAAGGCCTAGAAGGGTCTGAAGGTTCTCCTCTGGGTTCCAGTTCTGCCTTATGTTTGTTGTAAACAGTAATGAATTCGCTGCTGTTTGATCGTGTTTTCTTGTTTGTGTGGTTTAGTTGGGAACCTCACCGCTGCACTTAGCGGCGCAGTACGGTCACTGCTCCACGGCTGAGGTGCTGCTGAGAGCGGGCATCAGTAAGGACGCCCGTACCAAGGTGGACAGGACCCCTCTGCATGTGGCAGCCACGGAGGGCCACGAGCTCATCGTGGATTTATTAATCAGAGTAAGTTCACCAGCCTGTTCACAAATGCAGCACTGCTCTGGGAGTGCTCTCAGAGCTCACACCGTTCAGAGTGCTCTCTGAGCTCACACCGTTCAGAGTGCTCTCTGAGCTCACACCGTTCAGAGTGCTCTCTGAGCTCACATCGTGTAGAGTGCACTCTGAGCTCACACCGTTCAGCGTGCTCTCGGAGCTCTCAACATTCAGAGTGCTCTCAGAGCTCTCAACGTTCAGAGGGCTCTCAGAGCTCTCAACGTTCAGAGTGCTCTCAGAGCTCTCAACGTTCAGAGTGCTCTCAGAGCTCTCAACGTTCAGAGTGCTCTCAGAGCTCTCAACGTTCAGAGTGCTCTCAGAGCTCTCAACATTCAGAGTGCTCTCAGAGCTCTCAACGTTCAGAGGGCTCTCTGAGCTCTCAACGTTCAGAGGGCTCTCTGAGCTCTCAACGTTCAGAGTGCTCTCTGAGCTCACACCGTTTAGAGTGCTCTCAGAGCTCTCAACGTTCAGAGGGCTCTCTGAGCTCTCAACGTTCAGAGGGCTCTCTGAGCTCTCAACGTTCAGAGTGCTCTCTGAGCTCACACCGTTTAGAGTGCTCTCTGAGCTCTCAACGTTCAGAGTGCTCTCTGAGCTCACACCGTTCAGAGTGCTCTCTGAGCTCTCAACGTTCAGAGGGCTCTCTGAGCTCACACCGTTCAGAGTGCTCTCTGAGCTCTCAACGTTCAGAGTGCTCTCTGAGCTCACACCGTTCAGAGGGCTCTCTGAGCTCACACCGTTCAGAGTGCTCTCTGAGCTCTCAACGTTCAGAGTGCTCTCTGAGCTCTCAACGTTCAGAGTGCTCTCGGAGCTCACACCGTTCAGAGTGCTCTCGGAGCTCTCACCGTTCAGAGTGCTCTCGGAGCTCTCAACGTTCAGAGTGCTCTCGGAGCTCTCAACGTTCAGAGTGCTCTCAGAGCTCTCAACGTTCAGAGTGCTCTCAGAGCTCTCACCGTGGAGAGTGCTCTTGATTATTTTATTGATTAGTCATTTGATGTAAACAATTCCTGAAAAAATCTAATTATGGGATTCCCTCCAAAATAAAATAATTAGACCCATCAAGCGCAGCGCGCACAAACACACTGGCACCTTCAAGCAGTAGAATAAGCTGATGTTCTTCAGCTCACGCGCTGCTGCGTTCGCTCAGTTTTCAGAGTTTACAGGAAGAAAAGGTCATAACACTGTTAAAGCAAAGAGAACAACGGTTCTGATTAAAGGATTCTGTCTCCTGGTTTCCTTATTGGTTGTATATTGATACTGTTGTGTATGAGGCAGGTGCCATATGGATTTAACTTCAATTTATTATTATTATTATTATTATCATTATTATTATTATTGCTCTATCTTGACTGTAGAGTGGAGCAGATATCAATGCCAAAGACATGCTGAAGATGACCGCTCTACACTGGGCTACTCAGCATGGACACCACAACGTTGCACAGCTGTTAATCAAACACGGCGCTGACGTTCACGCCCTCAGCAAGTTCGACAAGTCCCCCTTTGACATTGCGATGGACATACAGCACGCGGGACTCGTGAGTTTACTCCAGGTGGGTGCGGCTGCAGCCCTTCATGCTGTTCTGTAAGCTGGGAAACGTGACCTAGAGTGAGGCAGGTTCTCCTGGTTCTGACTGGTGTGATGGTGTATAATATAAAATCCCCTGAACTAGAAATGACTCAGTTTGGTTTTTCTCTGTTACTCCAACACCTTGATAATTGTACACAAACAGTCTTTATAATCACTAAGATCTTTTTGAGGTTATAGAGATCAGACAGCCCACCTGTGTTTAAAATATGGCTTAGAAATCAATAGAAAATATCCATCTATTGATCCCCCCTCAATTACACGATTGGTGTGACATTTTTCACTAATTTTTTATCATGAAAAAAGCAAATTTATTCTTTAAGTAGTCAGACGGACAAACTCTGTCTGATTTGGTCTAAATGGCTAGTTTATTTAAGACCCTGACAACCAGACTTTTTATGAGCCGCTTTTCCACTTCCTCTGCTTTCTGTTAGAGCGTATGCTTCCCTATGTAAATAGTTTTTAGGAAGAATTCGGAATTTGGGATCCTAATTTTAAGGGAAAGTCAGAAATGTAGATTTTTTTATTTCATAATGAATATTTGTTTAAGTTCTGTGTTCAGTTTGTAATAGGAATGTATTTATTTATTTATTTGGTATTAGGATTCCTGCTTTTTCTCCTTTTTTTGTTTTAAAGTAATTAAATTTTTGTTCATTTTTTTTACATACAGTGTGAATTTGTCATTTCTTTTCATTTCAAGAGACTTTAAATAAAAAGAAAATTTAAAAAAATGTGGCTCAGAGAGCTCGCCAAGACGCTGCATACACTGTAAAAAAAAAATATGCAGCTTTTAAACTTAAAGTCTGTAACCTGGGTAACTTATAACTGAGTTCACTGAACTTGTTAAGTTAGCAGAAGAATAATTTGTGTTTTATGTTTGTTAACTTATTATTA